CAAAATTAGTCGGGTCAGGGAATCCTCGGCCTCGGGCGCAGCTAATTACTTTCTAATGTGACGACGATTCTTTTGAAGAGCTGTTTTTTCTCGCTGACCAAATCTCTTTAAAAGCATCTTGGGGGTGCACAGGCTGCCAGGAGGGAGTGCGCTGTGGCAGGCCTCACCCGGACCAGTGGGGGGGCTCGGGTTACACACGGCCTGCCGTGATGCATTGTTGGTGGGACGACTCGGCTCCAGTGCTCCCCCCTCTCCCAGACCACCACCACCTCTGTCCTCCTCCTCCTCCTCCTCCTCCTCCTTCTACTCTCACCACTGTCCTCAAAGAGAGGCTGCTGCACCAGGCCAGAGGATGCACTCTGCACATGAAACCTTACACTCAACTAATGGTTACAAATGTGTTTTCAAAGAAATCCCAGGTCTCCTGATAAACCATAGACTCATACTTTTAGATGTGCGTATAGGCCCATGCACACACACGCACACACACACGTGCACATGTGTCTTTGGGCAAAGTCAGGTGCAGTGAAAGGAAAATGTCCGGACATTTGCGTGTTTTTTCTGTGTTCAAATGTGGAGCTATTTTTGTTTATTTTAACAGAAAACGTGAAAACGTTTTTTTGTTTTTGACATTTATGCCAAGAATTGTAGCTGCAAAACATGAGAAAAATAATGTCGGCCTGTGGAAACTGCAGGTGTCTGGTGGCTTTGACTGACACTTCACATGGTTTTCAACGACCTCCTGCTTTCTTTCTCTCACTCCTAAAAAGACAATGTGTTGCCTTCCAGCGGAGTGATCCCTAATTAGCTGTCAGGTGATAGTGAGCTGCTTTCATTGTGCTCCCGCTGCTGAGCTGCAGGCGATGTGGTCAGCAGTCAGTCTCACACTGAAGTGACAGATCATCTCTCTATACAGCAGAGCCTGCAGCTGAAAGACACCACTTGGTCTTTACAAAGAGATCCCAACTCTCCATATTAAAAAGAGCTCAATATCAAATCTCATAACAAACAGATCACTGACCCAGCAAAGACCAGGAGATCTCCTCATGATCCCTGCTGCTGCTGCTGCTGCTGCCGCTGCTGCTGTTGCTGCTGTTGCTGCTGCGAGTCAACAGCTGACGTTTGACTGACGTCTGGATTTGAAAATGAATTATTTATTGGCCTTTTATGTTTATCAGTTTGTTCAGTGTAGACAGCTTTAATGGAGGAGAGATCCTCCCGATATCAGGTTCCAACATTTCGCAAGCTTTCGGAAAATCTCAATGGTATTTTACCATATATGTGCGAAAAATAACTACCCTTTCCTGTATCTCCAATAAAAGCCATATCTCCTGACTCCCCTGGACACAGCAGCCGGGTCATCCCTGATACAAAAGATATGATTTCTTCCTGTCTATCTGTCCGCTCCCCTGCAGCTCTGCTGCAGACAGTTCCAGTATCCACCCAGGCTGCAGAGGGACCTTGTTTGAAGGTCATGTCAGCACCGGGGCGTAAACGTTAGACCTTTTTGTGGTCAGGGTAAATGTACAAGGCCGCCCTGCGGGACCACTCCTTCCCTCTCTTTAATCGGCGTATAACAGGCCCTTGTAGAGCCAAACTGTCTGCGACACATCAGCACTTAGAAATAAAAACCCCTCAGCCAACCCTGCGCCGGCTGCGGTTGGAGTACGGCAGCTATCATTTCAGTGGGACAACACAGACGGGTCCTCTAAGTCACAGCCACCAAGAGGAAAGGGGAAATGTATTTTAGGACTGTTGTGATGCAGCGTACTTTTTTATATTCATCGATTTAACCTTTAAATAATTATTACTAGCCTTTTATTGTGAGTGGGATGGAAAAGCTCAGCAGCCCTGGTTGATACCAAACATTAACAATAACAACAGCTCTAGTCGCTGTGTTGACACAGCAGCTCTGCAGCTGTACTGTACGTCACTTGATTGTCTGGAGGCTCTGCTGATTACTGAGTCATGTCCCTGTGTGACAGCAGCCTTCATTGAGACTGGAAGATCGGGAGAAAATATCATTCCAATGTCAAGTATTTGTCTTGTAAATATTTTATTGCTCTTTTCATTTTATTTTTTATTAGTTTCTTTATGTCTGGACATCCAGCAGGCCTAACATTCACCGTGTGCAGTCTGGACATCCAGCAGGCCTAACATTCACTGTGTGCAGTGGTACAAAGGTACAAAGGGAAATAGACAAAGTACAGAATACTCCTCGGTCAAAGAGACCAATCACTGGATGCAGTCTAGAAAGCAAACTTAACAACTCTGATGCTCCGGCCGAGAAACTTAATTTACCAATTTGCAGGAAGAGAAGATGGCAGGAAACAAGCCAATTTGCCACGTGTGCAGCGGACAACAAACCCCGGCCTCGCTCTCCAGCCTCATGAGAGGCAATTATCTCCAAAAAAGAATGCCATGCTGTATTAAGATGTAGCCGCATCAAAATGAGGGAGACGGCCTCATTACGAGCAATTATGAGGGAATTAGAAACATCATTTAACTAAACGAGCAAATAATGTCCAGGATATTGAAGAAGCTGCCTGCACTTCTGCCGACCGCTGCAAGTCCCATTACAAAAATTGTAGGTCTTTAATAGAATAATGACATGCTTTATCTTCCCTGCCGTTCTGGAGCAGAGGGAAGGGCTGGGGAGGGGGGAGAGAGAGAGAGAGAGACAGACAGAGAGGGAGGGAGGGGAGGATGTGGAAACAACTGTTGCAGAGCTCTCTGTCCTCCATGTGGTCTCACCCTTGAGTGTGTAGCATGAGGCCTTCAAGATAATCCCCCTATTATCCTTACAAATACAAAATGGAGAGCAGAAAATTGTATCTCACATCCATTATCGTGTCAAAGGTAATGCTAATGGACTTATCTGCAGAGTAATAGCGGAGTTCTCCATACGCACGGGAGCCTGTAATAGTTTGATGCATATTGGAAAGCGAATGGTGCTTCAGAACGTACAGTTCAAGAAATGGTTGGTAATTGAACAGCGGGGCAGAATGGCTGTAACCATTAACAGCCCTGGTGCAGGGTTTTTGGTTAAATGTTGTTTTTGGGGGAGGAGTTAGTTCCATTTTAGCTTAAATACCGCTCTCACTGGCATTTAACCCGGTGTTTTGAGTACATAGTAGTTCAGGTGATTAACTGTAAAATATATTTTTCTACTTATTCTGGTTATTTGCGTTTTGTAGCTACATAGCGTAATGACCACTTCCTGTAGGCGGGTTGACGTGACTTCCGCTTTGGTCCAATGTCAGTAAGCGCTGATGTACGTGAAAATATTTTTTTGTTTTCTACATGAAGCCCCCTCCTGTACCCCCACCCCCTGTCCATCCACCTGTAATAGTCAAACTGAGATCGCCCTGATCTCCACAATAGGGTGTGTCAAAATTATTTAATTCAGTGATTCCCAACCACTGTCCACCATTTAAACTAGAAGGATATTTTTGTCAGAATTTTGTTTGGTGCCGTGGGGTTTTCCTAATGGAAAATATGTGCTGCGGCTCAAAAACAGTTGAGAATCACTGTCTTATTTGATTGTATAATAGACTCAGCAGCAGCAGGAGGGAGGGGCGGGGGGAGAGGGGGGGTTGGTGGTGGTGGTGGGGATAAACACAATTTTCCCTTCAGCTCTTTTATTTCAATTTGATATAAAACAGAATCATGAGGGGAAAAAAAGAGCCATCAACCCATAAACACAGACGCTGGCTTCAGCTGGCGGATGACAGCGCCCGCCTCAAAAACCTTGTTACTCTGCCTTCAAATTCATTTAGGGAGAAAACAGGTCTTGAGAGTTGTCTGGCTTTAATGCGTGGCGATCGCTTTTAAAACTCCTCGACTCCTGTCCTGAAGTGCAGCCGAGGCTGTGCTCCGCCGCAGCTTCATGACGTTAACGTGAAGCCAGGGCTTCCATCTCCTGTGAAATCCATTATCCAGATGAATGAGGAAAATAATTGTTCAGAAATTACAACACGTACTAAAAGGGTCTGCTTCACTGGCCTGCCTGCAGTCCAGGTCTGTCTTTAAAAAACTGTGTTGTCTTGACGTGAAACAGAAAGTTAAAAAAAAATAAAATCACTTTCAAATTGGTTCAAAGTTTATTATGAAATACCAGTTTCTGTTTTTTTGGATATCAAACATTTCTGGGGTTATGGTTTGTAGGGGGGGAAAAGTGAAAAAAAATAAAATATAGATAATGTTGTCGCAGCCAGTTTAAATTTAACGGCGTCTCTATTAGGTTAGTTTTGCTCGCCGTCGTTTTATTTCCAGATTTAAAACAGGTGATATCCTGGGGTTTTACTGTAATTCATTATGATCCTGTAAATATGCTCTAAAACCATCCTGAGAATCAATTTGCCTGCTGCTCCCTGTCACTGCCTCGCCGGCTCAACACACACACACACACACACTCTGTGTGTGTGTGTGTGTGTGTAGCCCACAGTTTCCATTACTCCTATCATAAATTATAGCACCGAGTGAATTACACTTGCTTTTCACCTTAGCAGGCAGGTTTGATGAATCCTAAGGCACAACACATCATCTCAACAAATCTTCATCACCGTGCCACTCGCTGTCTCTGTGCAGTTTAAACCACTTCAAATCATTTTCATTGCCCTGCTATTAAAATTTGTAATTCACACCAGCCACTGCAGTGATACATAGTTACACTGCCCCCTCACCGCCCCCCCACCCCCACCCTTCCCATTCACTGTATCCCTCTTTCACGTTCTCTATCTCTCTCTCTTTCCTCCTTGTTCTTTTCTTAGCTCGGCCTCTCTTCCTGTCTTCTCCTCTCCTGTAAATCAAACATTCTCGGGTGACAGTCCATGTAAATTTCCCACAAGTCAGCGGGGTGTAAACATTCATCCACGCTGCCGCTCCACCTGATGACATAATGACCACCTGCAAAACTTGCAAACAGCTTAATTCTAACAGAGCTGTTGCTGCTTTTTTTTATTCATAAATGTAACACTTCCCCATCCCTCCCTCTCTCCCTGTCTCCTCTCTCCATCTCTCCTATCTGTCACAAATTCATCCTCCTGCACCTCACCTCTCCGTCGCTGCTGCTGGAGTAACCTATAAATCACAGCCGTTCTCTAACGCTATCCATTTTCCCAGAAACACAGGGCGGCTGTTGCAGAAAAATTGGGTCAGGCATAATCTGCAGGGCAGCAGAGCCTGGCTCATCATGATTTGGCAAGGTAATGTAGCCATTAGCACACAGTGAACGATCGGTGGCTTGACGGGGTTGCTGGGTGATGTTGGTGACGGTGGATCCCCTGCAGACGACGTGACATCCAAGAAAAACTGCCACATGACACAGTTTTATCGCTGCCCATCAACCACGGGACATTTGTGTTCATTTGTGTGTGTGGAGCAGCGCCGCCGTCGGCACAGCTCGGCCTGCTGCATCTGCATGGCTCGGATTGTTGTGAATTAGCAGTGTTGAACTTTGACAGTGTGAATTGATTGGGTGTGTTGGGCCTCCTGGAATTCTAAACTGGCTTCTAAATTAGGAGGACGCTCACAAGTGTAACTGATACAGTAATTCACTACGCAGATGGGGAGGAGGCGGAGGGAGAGAGGGAGGGAGGAGGGGGGGTGAACGAGAACAGCTTTCGATTGATGGCAGCATGAGTCCTGAACTTTGACAATATGCCTTTTTATTAGGTTTCCTCTCAGGAGGTCTGATGCTCGGGAGCCACATGTGAGGCTAACTTCATGTGAGGGAAGCTCCCGCCCAGAGGCACCGCGGGGCTCGTAATAGTGCGTGCCTGAGTTTTTTCACCCTTTATCTCCTCACTTACTTTAAAATGTATGCATTTCAGGGCAGCTTGGCTGATTCACCCGCCTCCTGATTTGTGTGGAGCTGACGGCTGCAGTGTTTTTGGTTTCTAAAGACTATTTGCATAATCTGCAATTTTGGGCCCAGTTTAATGTTTTTTATTCTTCTTGTAGGCTCGTCAAACAAGCCACAGTATATGAGCCTGCATACATTTTATACTGCGTTCTGTCATAAATGTGGCTTCCACCACAGGGGCCATTAAAGATGCATATGTAATATGCCACTCTGTGATATTTGACTCCGTCATGAGTGGATTTGTGACCTGAAGACAATTTTTTAATATGAACCACAATGGGGCGAATATGTTTTTACATATATGTATTTACATCATTTGATTTAACTGTATTTATTTATATTTAAATTTTGAAAAGTTTCGGGGAAAAAAATCCTTTATTAAGATGAATATTCACTGCCTTTTGGGCAAAGATTTAAAGTCAAATATATATATATAAAAAACAGGGCAAACATAAAACCAAGCAAATAAAAACAAGTCAAATTTCACTGAAATAGAAAAAATTTATTGGATGAGAAGATTATTGTTGAAGATCTAAATGACAGTAGAAATAATAGTATTTTCCCCGTTGAATGGAAGAGCCTTGTTCTCCTGCCTGTGGTGAAGTGACTCTCTGTCCGGCAGGGCGGTAATAAGTTGACTCCGGCGTGTGTGTGTGTGTGTGTGTGTGTGTCTGGTGACATAAATGCTTGTAGAGGAAAGAAAATAAAATAGTACAAAATCATCATAATTAATTATACACATGGTGTATTTTATACATATAGGGAAGCTTGGCTGCTTTCTCGTGTGACGCACAGTTGCTGCATAATAGTTTTTCTCCAACAAATAAAGTGATACAGTAAATATACAGGGGGTTATGCAGAGACACATCATATATGTAGTGTATGTGTAGTGTAGTGTGGCATTTCTGGTCTGCGTCCCATCTCTATGTGGGCCGCAGTGGCGGACGCGCGGCATTCAGAGTCACTCAGTACTCGATCTTGTTGTACAGGTTGTATAAAGGTAACGCTGGCAGGTTGCTCCCCGGGTAGTAGAGGGGCGTCGGGAAAGCGATAGAGCGCGGCACAGGGACACGCAGTAAGGAGTTATCTCTGAAAACCAGCGGCATCCCCACCAGAGTCTGTGCGGAGGCGTGGGCCATGTTGGCCGCCTCCAGTTCGGCGGACAGCTGCCGTTTCCATTTGTTCCGCCTGTTCTGAAACCACGTCTTCACCTGAGTCTCGGTCAGCTGCAGGCTGGAGGCCAAGCAGGCCCGCTCCGAGCTGCTCAGGGAGCGCTTCATGTCGAAGGTGGACTCCAGCTGGAAGATTTGTCTTTTGGAAAATATCGTGCGCGTTTTCTTTTTCGTGACCATCTTGCTCTTCCTGGCCTCTCCGTTCCCCTGCACCCACCCTGCGGAG